CCCCCCTTTCGGATTCAAGGCTGGAGATGCGAGTCGGGCTCCCCTCCGAGGCGTCGTCTTGCCGGTGGTCAGCGCGGGGGCCGCGGGACCGGCCCGAGCGCAGGCGGAGCGGGCTGGCGCACGTGGTAAGAGCGCAGCTTTCTTTCTTTTTCTTTTTTACGAAATGGGACTTTGCACGCTTATGCCGAGGGTGGGGTATCTACAAGGGCGCCAACCTCGCCGCGATTTTCTTTCTTTCTCTTTTTATTTTTATCTCCAATTGGAAAAGAGCGCACAGTGAGAGTGACAAACTTTCCCAAAATTTTACTGGGCGTTTGAAGTCCGGAAGGTGGCCGGCCGCCGGAGAAGATTTCACGGCGGGCAGGGGGAAACGGGACCCTTGGGTGGAGAAGCAGAGCCCGCTCCCAGTCGCCCCCGGACCCTGACGGCCGCGCGCGGGGCCGGGTGAGAGCGGGCCGGCTGCGGCGGCGGCGGCCGCGGCAGGTGAGCGGCGGCGGGAGAGCCGCCTGCAGCGCCGCGCTTCCTCCACGGCGTGGCGTCGTGGCTCTCGCCCGCGCGGGCCCCCACGAGGCTGCGGCAGTCCCGGGCCGGGGGCGGGAAAGGGCCGGGCCGGGCCAGGCCCTAGAGGCTGCCCGCGCTCTCCATCCCAGGTCGTGGTGGCTTTGGGCGGTACAGAGAGCCAGGCAGGAGGCGGTGCGCCGGCTCGGGCACCTGGGACCAGCCTCCCGCGGAGCCCGGGCCAAGCCCGGAGCGCTCCGGCTATGGACCGGGAGGCAGGAGCGGTGCGTGCAGCGAGCCAGAACCCACCGCTGTCTGGACCTCTGAAAAGTTTTAAAAAATTGCTTTGAGAACTAACCAGAAAGGTTTCCATCGGGGTCAGTGTTTTTTGTTTGTTTTTTTGTTTTTACTCGAAAAGGGAAACGCGTGTGGGGTCATGGCGGCCTGAAATTGGCATTAGCGACGCTGTTTGCTGTCCCTCAGGACCTCGCTGAGCTTACCGAGGTGGCTCTTGGCGAGGCAAAGCAAGAAGATTCTTCCAAATGTGCGTGTTGTGGAGTAGGGCTCGGGTGAGGGCAGGGCGCACTTCCCGAGAGTGTAGGCTTTCGGGGGTCGGGGGCCGCGGTGGCGGCCATACGGCCGGAGAAGGTGAGGTGGGGTGTCTTGGCAGAGCATCCTGTCCGGCAAAGCCCAGCGCCCGCTCGGCGGGGCGGGCGCCCCGGCGCGCTGTCAACAGGGAGGTGTGTAGCGTAAGGTGTGCGAGTGGGTGTGTGAAGAAGGCAGCGGGGGCGGGAGTGTGTGTAGCGGAAGTGGAGCGTGTGTGAGTGTAGCAGTGTGTGTGTGTGTGCGTGCGTGGCGGGGCAGGGTGAGTGTCCAAGCCTCCATCTGGACGCCCCCACACAGCCGACCGCCCAGACGCGCCGGGAAGGGCGCCCGCTCCGCGCAGCAGCTGAAGGGGGGTGGGGAGCGCGCGGGCAGAGGAAGGGGGGTGTCTCCGGCTGAGGATTTCTCTCGAAGCTCGCCGCAGTTATTCTGTTCTTCCTAGGGTCTACCCCCACCAGCCCCCAAGGTGCCCGAAATACTTAAACAAACAAACAACCCCAAACCTGTTCCGTTTTCGCTCCTGTATAAATAGAACAGACTTTCCAAAAAAGCAATACCGCATTCACTCTTATCACCAGCCACTTCTTTCCACCAAGTAATTCAGAAAAAAGCAGTCAGCTTCCGTGAATGCATGCAGCTTTTTTTTTTTTTTCTTCGCTGCCTCCTTTTGCTTGCGGTTTTGAGTTGCCAAGAAAGTGAGTAGGGGTTTGACTGTAGTGTCTCGGCTCCGCTCGGTTTCTTTCCGAAGTTTAATTTTCCGGAATGGCTCCCAAACAAGGGCTGGGGAGGCGGAGCCGCCGGCACCGGATCTTCGCCTTTTTTGGAAAGCCTCGGAGAACCGGAATTCCTCCCCGCTCCGGGAGGCAGCGCCGCAGCTAGGACCCGCACGCTCTTCTCCCGTGGCCTGAGCCGGACTCGCGGGGCGCCGGCTCCCCGCTAGGCTCGGCGCCCTGGACCGGACTGCGGCTCGGCCTGCGCGTCCTAGACCCCCGCGATTCCCCGCGGTCTGAGAGCCGGGAGTCGCGAGCCCGGCGGAGTCCGCGCTGCCGAGACCGTATGCAAATCGGCCATGTGACGGCAAGAAGCCGCCTGGCCCAGCCCTGTTCCTCAGTCCATATATGGGCAGCGACGTCACGGGCATTGAGAACCTGCCCATAAATACTTACAGCAACACTTTCCGTCTAACCGAGAGAGCAGCAATTGATTAATAGCTCGGCGAGGGGACACACTGACTGTTATAATAACACTACACCAGCAACTCCTGGCTTCCCAGCCGGAACACAGGAGAAGAGTCAGTGGCAAATAGTCATTTTTCTTCTTAGAAAAACAGCAACTTGTTTTGCTAGTTTTATTTCTGTTGGATTTTTTTTTTTTTTTGTGGTTGCTTTTAAGTGTGGAGGGCAAAAGGAGGTACCAACTTAGACTCAGTCCAATCCCTCTCCAAAACGGCTTCTCTGACACTCCAGGTAGAGAGGGAGTTGGGTCTCCAGGTTGTGCGAGGAGCAAATGATGACCGCCAAGGCCGTAGACAAAATCCCAGTAACTCTCAGTGGTTTTGTGCACCAGCTGTCTGACAACATCTACCCGGTGGAGGACCTCGCCGCCACGTCGGTGACCATCTTCCCCAATGCCGAACTGGGAGGCCCCTTTGATCAGATGAACGGAGTGGCCGGAGGTAAGCCCCATGTCCCCTTCGCGGGCCGGGACCCAAGCGGCTCGAAAGTGGTGGGTGGGGTACGGTGCGTGTGCAGGACTTGGAGGAGAGGGTTGGGTGCGAGGTGGATGGTGTTGACTGAACGGGATGCAGGAGGAGCCCGCGGGAGCAAGGACCAGATCGCTGGAGCTGGGCGCGCGGGCAGATGCACCAGGTCGTCAGCGAGCGGGCGGGCGTGCGCCGCGGCGCGCCCAGCCCCCTGCGGGCGCAGGGATAAGAGTAGAAGAGGTGCCCCGCCAGGCTTGTGCTGGCCCTTGGGCCGGCGGAACCTCGGCCTTTCCTCTCCCGGGGCAGGGACAAAGTGACGGGAAAGTTCGGGGCTCCGGAGGAGAGCTGGAGAGCCGAGCGGCGGCGAAGCGCCAGAGGAAAGCGTCCGCCGCTCCCTCCCGGGCAGAGCCGACCCGGGGAAAATCTCCGAGCGCGTTCCGGGTGCGGCCAGAAGGAGCGCCCCCACCTGCGCGCCGCCCGCCAAGTTGAGGGGGTTGGCGAGGCGGGAAGGAGGAGGTGGAGGGCGGGCAACGGCGGGAAGCAGCCCCCCGGTGGCGAAGGAGGCCCGCGGGGGCACCGGAGCCGCTGGTTTCCTTGGCGATGCAGTGGAAAGTGGTCTCCTGCGGCCCCCGCTCCTTCCTCGAAGCTCCGCCACCGGCCTCGGGCTAGGGCGTGCGGGTGTTGGGCATGGCCGGGAAGGTTGGAAGGGAAAGGAAACCTATAGATTCCTTCCACTGCAGAGCCCCATACCCTCCAGCAGCCGTCAGCTGTAGCGCAGCGGGAGAGGGAGGGACGGAAGCGCCGGGGATGGGGAGCATCCAGGAAATCTCTGATCTCTTTCTCAGGCTCCCCTCTCGGGCGGCACTGGCTGGGATCAGTCTTCTGGTTAGGGTCTGCCCTGGAGCCCCAGCCGTGGGACCCCCAGGCAAAGGAGAGGCAGAGAAGTTCCAGGCAGATGGGGAATTTTTAATATTGTTGTTGCTATTATTGGGTGTTTTTATTGGGGAGGAGAGCCACAGATGGTTGTGTGGGGGGGTTGGGAGTAGTTCATCCTGCTTTTCTGGAGGTAGTTTGAGTCCCAGACTGTCATTGGCTGCCACAGTGGGATCCTGGGCTACCCTCTTCTTACTGTCCCCTAGGCTTCAATTTTTCCACCTGTTGGGCTCTGCCCCAGCTCTACTATGCTAGAATCCTGGGCTTTGGGAATGGACCTGTGTGAGAGTGGGTGAGAAGGGATTCTTGGCTGCATTCTCATTGCTCCACCTCCATTCTTTCTTTTCCCTCCCCAGATGGCATGATCAACATTGACATGACTGGAGAGAAGAGGTCCTTGGATCTCCCATATCCCAGCAGCTTTGCTCCTGTCTCTGCACCTAGAAACCAGACCTTCACGTACATGGGCAAGTTCTCCATTGACCCCCAGTACCCTGGTGCCAGCTGCTACCCAGAAGGCATCATTAATATTGTGAGTGCAGGCATCCTGCAAGGGGTTACCTCCCCAGCTTCGACCACAGCCTCGTCCAGCGTCACCTCTGCCTCCCCCAACCCACTGGCCACAGGACCCCTGGGTGTGTGCACCATGTCTCAGACCCAGCCTGACCTGGACCATCTCTACTCTCCACCGCCACCACCTCCTCCTTATTCTGGCTGCGCAGGAGACCTCTACCAGGACCCCTCGGCATTCCTGTCAGCAGCCACCACCTCCACATCCTCCTCCCTGGCCTACCCACCGCCTCCTTCCTACCCCTCCCCTAAGCCAGCCACGGACCCGGGTCTCTTTCCCATGATCCCGGACTATCCTGGATTCTTCCCATCACAGTGCCAGAGAGACCTACATGGTACAGCTGGCCCAGACCGCAAACCCTTTCCCTGCCCCCTGGACTCCTTGCGAGTCCCTCCTCCACTCACTCCGCTCTCCACCATTCGCAACTTTACCCTGGCGGGTCCCAGTGCTGGGGCCGCGGGGCCAGGGGCCAGTGGAGGCAGTGAGGGACCCCGGCTGCCTGGCAGCAGCTCAGCAGCAGCCGCTGCCGCCGCCTATAACCCACACCACCTGCCGCTGCGGCCCATTCTGAGGCCTCGCAAGTACCCCAACAGGCCTAGCAAGACCCCAGTGCATGAGAGGCCCTACCCGTGCCCAGCAGAAGGCTGTGACCGGCGCTTCTCCCGCTCTGATGAGCTGACCAGACACATCCGCATCCACACGGGACACAAACCCTTCCAGTGTCGGATTTGCATGCGCAACTTCAGCCGCAGTGACCATCTCACTACCCACATCCGCACCCACACTGGCGAGAAGCCCTTTGCCTGTGACTACTGCGGCCGCAAGTTCGCCCGGAGTGACGAGAGGAAGCGCCACACCAAGATCCACCTGAGACAGAAGGAGCGCAAAAGCAGTGCGCCTTCCTCATCCGTGCCAGCTGCCTCCGCAGCCTCTTGCACTGGAGGCACGCAGGCTGGGGGGGCCCTGTGCAGCAGCAACAGTGGCACTATCGGCGGCGGGTCCCTCGCCCCTTGCTCCTCTCGGACCCGGACACCTTGAATGAGACTCAGGCCGACACACCAGCTCCTTGAGGCCCCGGAGGCCCTTCGTCCACTGGTCCACTTCAACTGCACAACAAACACTACCACCCTTTCCTGCCCCCCTCTCCCTTCCTGGGCGAAGGGCCTTGGTGGAGCCCAGCACTGCCCCCTTTTCACTTAGAAACCGGTCCTTCCTAAAACTTAGCCCACTTTAGTGTCTCTTAGGTGGGTTGACTATCACCCTAAGATAATGGGGAGGTGCAGAAGGGTGTTGGGTGGGGTCCCTGGCCTAGAGGGCTGAGGCCTGACCCTGCTTTAAAGGGTTGTTTGACTAGGTTTTGCTTCCCTTCTCTCATATCTTGTCCCATTACAGGTTTGACTCTGGATGTCAGAGTTGATTTGAGACTTTTTCTACAATAGTAGGTTGGGAGATGCTGATCCCTTCAGGTGGGGGCAGCAAAAAGAAGCAAAGCTGATGTGCACTTTATGGCTTGGGACTGATTTGGGGATGCTGTACAGTGAATGAAGCATGGCCTTTATGCTGCATTCTGTGGCCCTAGAACAGTGAATCAAAGCTTATCTAGTCGTTCCAACCCTTTAAGCAATATGTATTATAAACTCAGAGAACGTAAGTGCAATGTGATGGGAGGGACATAGCAATATCTGCTCCTTTTTGAGTTGTTTGAGAAGTGTAAAGACTATTTTTTCAGTGTATATCCACTCAGATTTTGTGTATTTTTGATGTGCACTGTTCTCCAAGTTCTGAACCTTCGGGAAAAAAAGCATTTATGATCTCCTGAAATGAGTCAGAGATTAACTTATTTAAAGGGGATGTACATATATTCTCTGAAACTAGGATGCATGCAGTTGTGTTGGAAGTGTCCTTGGTGCCTTGTGTGATGTAGACAATGTTAAAGGGTCTGCATGTAAATGGGTTGCCTTACTATGGAAAAAAAAATCACTCCCTGGGTTTAGTATGGCTGTATATTTCTGCCTATTAATATTTGGATTTTTTTTTTTAGAAAGTATATTTTTGTATGCTCTGTTTTGTGACTTAAAAGTGTTACCTTTGTAGTTGAATTGCAGATAAGAATGTAAATATTACTGGAGCTGACTTGTTTGGTTATTAGCTCTTAATAGTTGTGGAAATAGAAATGATTTATTCTAACGCAAAACCACTAACCGAAATTCAGATAATGGATGGTTTATGACTATAGTGTAAATAAATACTTTTCAACAATATTTTTGCTGCAGAAATCGTTGATGAAAGATTTACTTGGTGGGAGTTCAAAAGTTATCCAGTGCTTTGACCAAGCTAGGATCTCCCAGGTTTTCTTTGCTGGCCTTTCAACACCAGCCCTCTCACCCCCCAAGCAATCTCCATTCATAATCAAATGCTAGCGTTCCGGGGATTTCCCCCATGCATTAGTGTAAAAGTGGGGAGGCGTTGTTTTGACTCATTGTTCCGTCCTCTCTAACAGCCTATAGCTTCTCTCGACTCCTGAGTGGGCTCCGGAAAATAAATACTTACAAACAAGTGCCCACTCGGAGACTACACATTTGTGGCTGCTTTCAGAACTCTGACCAAGGCCAGGAACTCAGACGAGATGTGGCTTTGTGGAAAGTGTGGTGGCGTGGTCAAGCTGGAAATGACTTTTAGGTTCCAGGATTAGTCTCATGACCACAGAAAACTTTTTGAAAAATGCTATCGCCTCTTCAGATCAAAAATGCACTCAGACACTGCTGAAAACAGCATTCATGGTTTGCCAAAGGAATTACCCCAGGACTCATTTCTCTCTAGTCTTCTCTCCCTGGTTGCCCCTATTTGGAAGGATCACTAACCTGCCATATGTTTGGTGGGCCTAGAGACTATCAAAATACCCAGCTCATTAGATAAAATAGTTGCACACCAGCTTAATAAAATCTCAAAGAAAGACATTCTGAATCAAATAGGCAAATACGGTTCTCCATTTTACTTGATAATAGTTTGCAAAAGAATACTCTATAGGGTTCATTTTACTGTGAGCCTTTTGTAGCAATTTTAAGATATAAATTTCACCAAGAAAGAGTTATCTACCTGTCATACAAAGCAAATGGGTTGGGCCTGTGTGAAGAATTGGGCCTCAATATCATTGAAGTTCACCCATTGCTTCTGGATCCTCACATAAGTATAACATGTTGGAGCAGAAACTGTTCAGCTGTATCATCTGAAAACTGTCATCTGTCCTTTGCCACTGTCAGCCTCCTTCATATGTGGTCAGTAATTGGACTGTATTTTAGAACAGCAGACAGCAAGTAACTACTCCTCAAAACTTTTTGCTCTTCAGAGGGCTGGAATTTTTAGATCTAACTTGTGGAGGTAATTAATCCTTTTATTTCCTCTCTTTCTGTATTTCAAAGATGCAGAATACCTCTTTCAGTAACTACTAAATAGAAATTTTCTAAACCCCAGTGCCAGATTGTTCTAGTGACTGATGTTATTCCATTAGATTCATATTTCGTAGTTTGTCAGCTTATTATCATCCTTGCTTGGCTAATTTTGTTAAAACATGTATACAACAATGCCACATTTTGGTAATTGTGTTTTAATGAATACTCTCCTCCTAGCAAAATTTCATAATATTAAAATACAGTAATTTGTCCTGCCAACTTAAATTTCAGAACACCTTCAATCAAGATAATATAAACAATTGTTCACAAAGTGGGACTAAAATAGCTTTTTAAGAAGTCCTTTTTAAAAGAATAAGTTAATGTTAATTAAATGTATTTTGATGATAGTCAAATTGGTTACATAATCACTTTCACCTTGAGGTGGGCTTGGTGAAGAGACAACATACCATGAGGAACATATCTTGGTGTTTTTTCAGAGACAGCTTGGTGGCTTTTACTTCTTGATTTTAACATGTTAGGTCAATCTTTCACCAGATTTCACTCTCAGCTTGCAACATTCAGGGTACTTTTATCCAGGTGTTTCATTTTTTCCTTTGCTCAAGAAATAAAGTATATAAAGCTAAGTCTGATCCTTCTTATATTCAGTATGCCTTATTGAACAGTATTTCTGATAGTAAACCTGTTTAAAAATAAACTTCTGGAGAATAAGTAGGTCTATTAAACTAAACAAGGTTTTCAATTATTCATAAATGAGTGTATTTAAGTATCAATTACTAATGAAATTAAGCCAAATTGTTTGGTATATATTGAAAATGGCTGTAGTGATATTTTAACTGTCCCTGATACGTGTGTGTGTGTGTGTGTGTGTGTGTGTGTATAGAATGGTCAGCATCATCAAGTACCTAAAATGCTGCTAGTCCAAACTATAATTAAACAAACTTTACAGAAAATGACAAATATTTAAGTCCAAACATTCTTTCCTTCATGGATAAAAGTATTTTTCTTTTCTTGCACTAGTTTATTTTCTTTAGGTTAAACATAAAGGGGAACTATTTTCTGTTGTAGCAAAATAACATGATTCCACATTAATTTCAGATGTGTTTTCAATCAGATTGTTTCAAAAAGCTCACAAAGAAATGGACTATGTAAGTTTCTACTACTTGGACTTTGGAATCTGCAGAAAGCCACCAGTTTTCAGTACAACATAATCTTATAGAATGAATGTTTAATAGTAACTGGACATCATAGTATTTTTCATTTTGCAATAATCAAATAAGATTTACCTCTTTAACAATTTCAAACATGCTTTTATTTTCCATAAGTACACTGATTTTAATTTCTGGATCTGAAGATTCAGTATGTAGGGGGCTTAACAAAGGATTGCCTTGACAGTAGATGCTTCATTACACTGAAATAATCAGTGGTTGGTTTCTGTTTGTAACCTGGCTCTCAGAATTCAGATGAAGAGGGTTACAGGAGTGGCACTACCCTCAGGTTAGAGTTGAATAGTAACGGGCTGAACCCTGAATTAAGGACATATTGCTTCTACGTTGAGCAGCAGAGCTAGCGCACAAGATACAAAGTCATTTGGAATCAGTAACAGTCTACCTGAGATGCCAAGGCAGAGGCATCTACAAGGGGACAATGAAAAAGGAGGAATAAAAGGTGTGGACTCTGGAAGAATTTAACAGCTATTAGCCTTGAAAGTTCAGAGAACCCACTCCTGTTGACAACTAGTACTTTAAAAATTGGCCCATGATTTTCATTAACAAACAGCAGTTAGTGTAACCTCAATCCACGTGAATCAGGCTTAGTAAAAAAAATCAATTCTCAGAGTAGTAGGTAGGTACACAATACACACCATTAATAAAACTGGCTTTTGATATATCAGGGAATTAAAACGCTTTGAAGTATTGAGACAGACTTCTCACTCGGGAGAGGCAATTATTGCGTTTGTTATTCAACAGGAAAGTGATCAGTATCATTGTGCTCATCAGTCTGTGTAGGGGAAGACGACTTTTCTCCTCAGTCGTTACTAAAATAGTCTATATCGCAGTAATATACGGAAACGCAATAGCAGCACATGAAGTCAGTCATGACGAACAGTTTAAGCGCAGAGGTGCCAGGTTTTGCTGCACGACATTTTGTCTTTGTAGTAAGAATATTCTTCTTAGTGGCTAAAACAAGTTCTGTTTTCACCATTAATTTACTCAATATATTAGTGAACCACACGTTTCACTGTCCTTACTGAACTAAATTAGAGAGATACCATATTGCTATTTTGGCCTGCAACAATTTCAGTTCTTTTGAAAAGCACCTTAGTTTTTTTTTCATTCAGCTTGTTTGCACTTGAGAACTTTAAAACTTTTCACAATAAAGTTTGGAAAAATAATTCCTTCTTGCTTACTGTTCTATTGCTAGAATGTTTTTGTAGTTTTAATGCATTCTAGGGTGTATTATAGCATATACATCACTGTCAATAATTTTATAAATTCATCAACTTTTTGCTATAATTCAGAACGGGTAGGCATGTGATTGATAACCACATTCATTACTGTGCTATTAAAAAACCCATTTTGTGAACATTTTTCTAAGAAAATCATCATTTGCATATCTAGGATTTAGTTTTAAATTGAATGGCATTATGAACTGCTTCAAACTGCCCCAAGGCATATTAAACTATAGCATCATGTGAAGCCACCATAAAACGTTAGCAACCTTGGAGGAAAGGCTTAGCATTATGCCTGTTTCAGGTTTTACAAGGGTGGCATTTCACATGGAATAAGCGTCTTTTTTGTTTTAAAAAAAATCAAGAATTTGCTTTCTTAATCTATTTAAAAAATTGGGAACAAATATTCCTTCACTCTGGGCCACAGTAACCCAGTATGCATAAAGAGGCAAAGGCACATACTGTCTCTCCAGTGTCAACACTTTCCACCAATAGCAAGTCTCCCTTTATTACATACAGACCTTAGAACTCGATTGCCATTTGGGCAAGTCAATCAAGAGGGCTTAGACAACAGCTGGGCAGATTTTAATGTGTTTATTTCTACAGTTTGTTTTTATTAAAAGTGTTGTGAAAAAGGAATCCTATAAATAGTAAAAAGAGGGAAACAATAGTGCTCCATAGCCTGAAGCAAATGGTGTAAATACAGTTGTAAACAAGGTAAAGTTGCTGAGCTTACCGAAAGGACAAAAATAAAACTAGTTACAGATAGCACAACTGTTTAAGAGGTTGGTTAGTGTTTTGTCCCTCGTTCTGGTGCCCTAAAATGGCCAGCAGTATAGGTAATTCTCTACTCTGTAGCCTTGATCATGTGTGCCTTCTCTCTTCCTATAGAAACCACACCAGATGAGGCAAGCTCTGGCTCACTACTGTTGGGAGAACACTGCCATCAAAACAACACAGCTGGAACCAGCAGCCTTCTGGAACATTAGAGCTCCTGAGAATTTGAAACAGTCATCAACATTTTTCTCTATTTTTGCAGGAAAATACTGGAAGTAAACAGGGGCATGGAGTTCAACAACTGGCTAGAAGTGTTTTACATTCAGTTGTTTGGAAGCATGGCGATTCAGCTCCTTTGAATCTTCTGGTTAGAAAACCCAGAATTAACCTATCACCTCTTAAAGCTCACGAAGACCCTCCCCCCAAAATGAAATAAGTCATTTGAAGGTAATATAGTTTTTGCATTAAAGGTGAATCTGCAACAAGAAATCTGCTTAACTCCCAGATCTGGAGACTCAAGGGGACAATAAGCTCTAAGTGATCATCTGTCACTGAGATATGCAGGCGCTGGATTTCTTGGTAGATGCTGCCAGAGTAAACCAGATGTGGCTACCGGGCAAGAGGAGGAAAGAAAACAAATCTTGTCCTCTACATGCATAGTTATGCTTTGGGGGTGATACTCCAACTCTGGAAAAATGATCTAATTTTCACTTTACATAGTAGCTCATCTTGTTAAACCTAGTTTTTACCAGTGACTTGAACTAAAAACAATTCAAACCACTGGGTCATGCAATCAATAAATTAGAATTATAACAGTAAGGAGTAAAAGGGACATAGGTGGAAAACAAATCCTATTTACCCGGGGTAGGGGGTGTGGGGGCTTTTAGTGTATTTTGTATAGTATAAAGAACAGAGAAAAATCTATTTTCATTATGGCTTTAGGATGGAAGCGCTTCAGATAGTCCCCTGCCCCCCTTTCCCCCAAATCAAAACCCCAATGGCAGTGACAGAGCCAGGAAACAACCTACTAGTCTACTAGCCTTCCCCGCCCCTTAACCCGACCCCGCGGCTGCACTCCAGTCGCCAGTGCTTCCCACGGCTCCAGAGAAAGCAGCTACAGCCCATTCCAGTAGATCCAAAGCCCAGGCCTGCGGGTAGGGAGAGAGCCCTTATGGTGGGTCGCGGGTAGCCAGGCCCAGATGTGAACAGGGCACGTCTTCGCCCCACGGCAACCGGAGGCTGGCGGCTTCAAGGGAAGACCTTGGGACCTGGATAGGGCTCCCCCTCGCACCAGAAGTCATCGGCTTGAGGGGTCTCCAGGAGCCACACCTCTTTGGGCAGGTCGCAGGCCGAGCCGGAGAGCTCCTTGTCCCTGACAGGCTCCAGCACCCGGTAATAGTGGCAGTCCCGGCCATCGTCCGGGTCATAGGGCGGGGCCAGAATGTCCAGGAAGGCGGCGGGCCCGTCCACAGCGTCGATCTGGTGCAGGTTGTCCTGGTGTGGGGTGAGGACGCAGGGGCCGCTGGCCTCGGTGTACTCGGCCCTCGAGCGCAGCACGCCCAGCCGCACGGCGTCCCGCTCCCGGGCTTTGAGCGGCGGCTCGAACTGCTGCTCTGGCGGCGGGGCCCGTGGCCGCTGCCCGCCGCCCGCCTCCAGCTTGTCCATGCAGCTGATGCGCACGGTGCCGTAGAGCACCTTGAGCATGCCGTGCATGCCCGGGTGGTCATGAAGCGGAATGGACGTGCCGCTCTTGAGCAGGAACACGCCGAGGCTGAAGCCGTCGGTTTCGTAAATGTGCATATAGGTGACCGGTGGTAGGTTGGGCGGCAACGGCTGCACCGTGGCCTTGCGCGGGGCGATGTTCAGGTCCTCCGCGCGGACTTGGGTCAGCAGGTTCTTCAGCTTGCTCAGGTTCTCCGGGAAGCCCTGAGGCATAGGGGCCTCGTAGCCCGGCGCCGCGCCGTGGTCGGAAGCGCTGCGGCAGCCCCCGCTGCCCCGGAAGGTGAGACACGCCTGGCGGGCGATCCGTTGGATCAGGGAGGCCATGTTGTCTCGGGGCATGCTCGGCTGATCCTCTGCGTGTCGAGGCTGGCCCCCGCCGCCCCCTGCTTTCTTCCGCCCCTTGCGGTCTCCGGTAGCCGCCACGGCTGCCAGCAGCCCGGGGCGAAGCGAGAGGCCCCGCAACTACCGGTCTTACGGGCGCGCGGCACCGCTGCCGCCAACCTCAGCAGCCTTGCGCCCGCAACGGCCCCGGCGCACCAGCCCCGCGCCTCCGGCGAGCGCGCACGCGCACGACCCACGCGCCGCACTCACGCCAGAGGAGCAGGTACCGGCCGCGCGGACGGTGTAAGGCTTTGCGTTACGCCCGACGTTCCATTCAAGCAGCCCACACCTACGACGGTGGCCGGGCGCGCTGGCCGCCTTACAGAGCATGCTGGGACTTGTAGTCCGATATTACGGATGAGCTCTGACAGAGTTTCCTTTGCCAGCTGGAAAAGGAAGGATTGGATTTGTTTCTTATAAAGAGCCTTTCTTTAACTGTTTCAAGGTATTTGCTTGTTTGAGAAGGTGAATTGGGACGCAAGAGAAGTAGCCAGTTAACTACAACTCCCGGCATCCTCAGCAGGCCGGAGTGGCGCACTTCCGGCAGCTGGCCTGAGGCGTGGTGAAGGCTCTTGGCCATCGCCAGGAACGGGGCAAGAGGGTCGTTAACCTTTATGGCGCCGGTCGGCCTGTTCAGCCAGCCAGGGTCGCTCTTCTCTGGCGCCTACCTTTGGGAAGGAGGCTGTTGAGTTAACTTCATGTCTTCCTGGCCACCTAGGCAGTACAGTCTACCCACGGGGATTACGGGACAGCACTTTCGTAATTTTCCAAGTTTCTTGGGAGATGAGAGGGTCGAGGCCGTCCCTAGCGATCAGGATTCCTCTGCACAGCCGTCCCCAGCTGTTGTTTGCATCAGGGTGTGATGACGCTACTCTTCCGGTTAAAGAGCCGGATGGTTTTGCTGGGATTCGAGAGGCCATTTGCTGTGGCCAAGGATTGTGTATACTAAAGGTTATTAAACCATGGTTTGCCTGAGAAGCACCTGCTTGTAAGGGGGAGGTAGGGAGGAGCTTAAAAAAAATACAAATTACTGGTTGTCGTGTAGAAACTGATTCACTAGATGATTCTGGGGCATCTTATGAGAAACAATGGTGTGCGAGAACGAGGCACGCTCTCCATCATCACCTTACCCTGAGTTTAAAATCCTTTTGGGCTTCCAAAGCTAAACATGAGTTTTTTGCTCATTTTGTAATTATAGTGGTTCCATAAATCCTCTCCAGCTAAAAAAGGCATGCTTTTTTAGTGGGCTGTGTAACCTATCTAATGAACACTTGATATATGCGAGGCAATATTATACTATTTAATCCTCATAGCAACTCTTAAAAGATGGGCTCTGTTATTAATCCCAGTTTGCAGATGAGCGAATAAGTTGCTCAAGGATAGTAATCAGCAGGGCCTAATCAGTAGTGAAGAAAAAAGTACAGTTTTACAAAAAAAAAAAAACCAAAAAAACCCAAACGTTTGAGTTGGTATTAAAAGCACTAAATGTGGAGTTAGGAAATTGTTTTTTCCAACCTGTTGTGCTAATAACAAGTTGTATGTTTTAGGCGGATCGTACCCTTTCGGTCCTCAATTTATTTACTTGTAAAATGTTGGGGTTAGGAGAACAGTCCTTCTGAACACTAGTTACTCATCAGAAGCCCCTGGGAGCTTTATAAAAATAAAGATTTGGAGGTCATACCCCAGAGATTGTGATACAGAAGAACTCGTGTGAAGCCTAGATTTTTTTTTTTTTAAAGATGCTATGCAAGTGATTCTTAATTTTCAGCCCAGTTTGAGAATCACTGCTAGATCTGTAAATTCTGAAGCAGTTCTTAATATTTGGTGATTTTGATTAAGACAGTGATTATTTGCTTTGGAAAGGACTCCTAATATTTGCTTTTCAGATTGCCATGCCATTGTTAAGGTATTTAAATTGTACTGTCAAAGTTCATCATGTAATGAAATCCCATGCAGTCTTTTTCTAAATTTTCTTTTAATATTTATTCTTGAGAGAGAGACAGAGCGCGAGTGGGGGAGGGGCAGAGAGCGAGGGAGACACAGAATCAGAAGCAGGCTCCAGGCTCTGAGCTGTCAGCACAGAGCTCCACGCAGGACTCAAACCCACAGACTGTGAGATCATGACCTGAGCTGAAGTCGGATGCTTAACTGACTAAACCACCCAGTCTTTTTCTAAAGTGAGGAATATTTAATTTAAGAGAAAGAATCCCTGTCTTTATTTACAAATCTGGATTTTTATTTACTGGTTTTGCTTTTATTAAGATATAATTAGTGGGAGATATAGATAGACTCGATAGAACTCAGACTTTAGTAACATATAGATGTATTTGATTTTCAAATCTATCACTTCTTGATAGTTACCTATACTTATTTAACTGAAACTCATCTATAAAATGGGATAATAAGAGACATGTGTAGAAATGTCATAATAGCATATGGAACGTAGTAGCTATCCTATAATAGTAGCTATTATTATGGTTTTTAAATGGTTAAAAGCAATTTAAAAAGTAGTTAACACCAATGAATTTAAATAATACTCAGCAAATATTGAGATGGAATTTGACTTGAGAATCAATTTCAAGGTAGAGATAAAAACTTTTTTTTTCAACGTTTTATTTATTTTTTTTGGGACAGAGAGAGACAGAGCATGAACGGGGGAGGGGCAGAGAGAGAGGGAGACACAGAATCGGAAACAGGCTCCAGGCTCCGAGCCATCAGCCCAGAGCCTGACGCAGGGCTCGAACTCACGGACCGTGAGATCGTGACCTGGCTGAAGTCGGACGCTTAACCGACTGCACCACCCAGGTGCCCCAGAGATAAAAACTTTTTATTGGTTAAACCATTTACCTGGTGATGCCATCCTTCAGGTCCTTGCTATTATTGTTTGGCGAAAGAGTTGAAAATTTTCAAAGACTGGTTGTATCAGAATAACTTGGGGACATTTGTTGAAAGTGCAGATTCCTAGATCCTGTCTACACCTACTGAATCTGAATCTTTTGCACATTAAAAGTTTTAATAACTACTGAGTGTCCACAGGGTATATAGTACTTTTTTTAGGCCACAGACAGGCTACCTCCATAATTCCTTTTGATGCTGTCCTTAAGAGCTGCACTAATGGATGAGGTCAATCCTAAGAGCTTTTGCCTTTCAGAAGCACTTCACTTGACCTGCACCACTGCCAGTAGCATTGGGTGAGTAGGTGTCTATTACCATTAATGTCCTTTTTTATGCTCCTTGTTCTGTTTTCCTTTGTGTTGGAGCAAGCAAAATGAAGATCAAAAGAAAGTCAAAAAAGGGAACAAAGGAGAAGTGACAGTGAACAAGTGATAGAAATACAAGACAGACACAAGATTTTGGAAAAGTTTGGGATGGACAGAATCTATCATTTGATAGATTCTGGATACCAGGCATTGTGTTAGGTTTTGGGGTTTCAGCAAGGAATATCTGCTTTCGCAAGGAATTTACCTGTGTGTGTGTGTGTGTGTGTGTGTGTGTGTGTGTGTGTGTGTGTATTTTGGGGTGGAGGTCGTTACCCAGTATAAATCAGTGAGCAGCATAATTTCAGACAGAGATAAAACTTATGAAGACAAAACAGGATGATAGGATGGTGTGATATTTGTGTGTGTGTATGATGTGTTACTTTAAACTGGGTTGTCAGGGGTGATCAGAAGGTAACATTTGAGCTGCTCCTGAATATTAAGGAGTCAGCTATGGAACAATGTGGGGTCAGAACATTCCAAGACCAGGAAACAGCCTTAAAGTTGTTAACCAGGGTATAGGATATTATGACTTTGACTCATTGGGAAGGAGCTTGGTATAACTGGGGACAAGAATGAAGGGCTATGAGATTCCTGCAGGGAGATGAAGTTGGGGAGGTAGGCAAGGGCCATATTTTATAGGCCTTCTAGGACATGGTTAGGGGGTTATGGGAATTGAGGCCCATGATGGGGAGGTGGATTTTGTCACAAGTAAGTACAGTGAGCTTTTGGAGAGCTTTGGTCAGGAGAATGACTTATCTGTTTTACATTTCTGAGAGACTGGTGGGGGAAGTGTGTAACAGCAAAGAAACCTTGATTGGAGGCCGTAATCCAGAGGAAAGACAAGAACTAGTGTAAAGATTGGGAATCTGTTGTGTAGGTGGATCTGACAGGGCTTGCTGATGAACTGTTGCTTTGATGACCTATTTCTTAAAGTGTATTCTCTCCACATTTTTTTTCATGAGTTCACAGCGATGTAGTGATGGGTGAGACTGACAAAACTTAAATCTCACCTCTTGTCCACATTTAACTATTAAATTTAGGAATGGGCAAGGCACACAGAAGCATGAGTAAGGCTGAATTTCTTTTTAAATAGTTAGTCAATTAACCAGGAAGCAAGAAGAACTGGAAAAACCCCCAAATACACCCCCCCCCCC